CCCCCCCCCCCCCCCCAAATATCTGGTTTGTGACCCGGGCGAGTGCTGCCCTCAGCTGGTGTGTCCCTGACATGAGCCTGTTCTCGAGGCTCTGCTGCATACAAAGGGCTGTACACATGGGAGTAAACCAGTGAGTATCAACAGCCCGAAGGATTTTTAAGGCTGCACTGGCCTTTCTCCGGGTGTCAACCATCTAAAAGATGCAGTCTTTTACCTTCCATGAACAGTCCATGCACGTAGGAGCCTTCTCGGGGTGGAGCTGTTACCTCCTCACGGGTTTTCTTGGTCACGTCCACTGCGAGGCACATCTTGTCCAGTGGCCACTCATTTTTCCTGGCCATGGACTGCATGATGGCTGTGAGGAAGGACTGGGGGTTGAAGAGTCCTGCCAGCCACACCGTTGCAGGCAGCACAAAGTCTGTTGTCCACACTTCCAGTTCCTGGAAAATAAAACCAGCAGAGAGTGAAATGTGTGCTTAGAGGAGCAGATTGGTGCTGGGAGCTGTGACCGAGCTGATGCTTCACAGGCCCCTACACAAATATCTGGCATCTTCCAGCCAGGGACAGGGGGCTGGAGGTGGGCTGTGGTGAGTCAGTGGCAGACTCCCCTGCAGCAATGGAGCTGAACCCTTCACGTGGATTGCAGGAGATGCCGCTGTTATTTTCTTAACAAAGCTACATTTAAATAGATGGTTTTATGAAATATTTTTGTTCTTTGGAAGCATATAAAGCTCTGATGGGGTTAACGATGTTCTTTGGAAATGGTGATATACTCTGACGGTGAACCCTTCTCAAACCTCTGCCCTTGCTCTTGGGTAAGAGGCCACTGCAGGTACGTCCAATGGCTTAAGTTAATATTGAAAAATAAAGCAGTCAACCACTGTACACTGATGGAGGTGATCCCTGCTCCCATGGTGTCTGCTTGCTCCCTAAGCTTGAACTTCCACAGGAAAGGTGCTCACCCTGATGCGCAGGAGCATGTCTGCATACCAGGCTCCTAAGCTGAGGAGAGAGGGGTAGGCATAGCGGGTCCAGGATTCGGGAATGGTGTCGTAGAAGAGTGCGTTGGCCAAGTCCTCCATGTCGGCCGTGATCGTTAGCTCGCCCTTCAGAAGAGACACATGGGGGCAATTTTAGCTGAAGGCAGCAGCTGGGGGATGTGTTGGGTCTGAAATGCAGTTGCAGACTGGGAACGTTTTGTCCAGGAGAGCGACTTCCTGGGCCCAGCCTCCCGTGTACCTTGAGTCCCAGGTCCAGCTCCTTCAGCGAGCGCCTGATTTCATGCGTCAGGAAGTTCATTCTTTCGCATTCCTGGAAGGCGACTACCACGTACGGAGTCTTCTCCTCGGCTTTGGCCATCAGCTCTGCCATGATGAAGGGCTCCGGCAGCCGCTCCATGATCTCGTTGAGGACTGACTTCACCTGGGAAGAACAGACCACAGAGCTCTATAGCTAAGGGAGATGCTGTCAGTTAATGGGTCATTGCCGTAGCAAGATTTTTCTGTTCTGCTGTCATGTTATTCTGTGCTTCCTCCTCTTCTGTTACTAGTACTTCATTCTTTTACTAACTGCTCTTAGATCCTAAAGAGCTGCAGCTCTTTTGATAGCCAAGAAGGTTACTTAAGTAAAGCCTTGACAGGAGTGTCCTGCTGAGCCAGGACTGCAGCATTTGCTGTGAGCTCTGCAGTGATAGGCGCTGGGCTGGGATCACTCTGTACTACTTTGCGCTGGTAAGAAATCAGGGCATATCCCCCGTCCATCGCGTGTGTGTCCGTGCTCCCCACCTGGGCTCAGAATTGTCACCACTTACTGTAAGGGGGCAGAAGCTCCACTTGCCTTTTCCTCGCGGGAGACGCCCGCACCACCTCCCACGTCCGACTCCTTGGGCTGCATCTCCAGAACGGTGCGGAAGAGCCTGTCGGAGGTGACGGCGAGGAAGCCAATCTCCGCGTTGGGATGCAGCCCGTACAGGTAGGGGCTCTCAGGGGGCAGGTTCTCGTTGATGTACGCGTGGTAGCCCTGCACATGGGGCAGCACTGACGTTACTTCAGCACATCTGGACAAAGGAGCTGAGTGGCTCCCACTGTGGGAGTGTGGCACCGCGGTGCCGTGCTGGGGGCACAGGTCTTGCTGGTGCTTATTCAAGATGGATTTTTACTCACCTCTTACCTAAATTTTTCCCTTTCCCACCCCCAGCCACAGGAATTATTTTCACAGCTATTTTGCATGTTTCCACAATTTTTTCCCCCATCTTCTCCCTTGGTTATGGCATGAGGGAACTCTGACTAGTGCGCACTTACCCGAGCAGTGGTTTTCCACAGCAAAGGGCAGTGCTGATCTTTCTTACCTTGTAATCCAAGCTGGGAGGGACTAGAAACCCCGGAGCCAAGTACACTTCCCCCTCCAGCATCTCCGCGCAGATGTACTCGCTGAGGTATGTGCGGCACAGCCGGCGGTCCCAGTCGTCCGTGATGTGCCCCCCGTACATGATTTCACCAAAGAGGTACCGGAGATCGTCCCACGGCACCTACAGGAAGCAGCACACCGTCGGGTTCTAGTGGCTACACGTGTTGCGGGGCCACAGAGCTCCTGGGTTGACCTGTCCAGCGTCCAGGGAAGTGACAGACCCTGGACCACAGAGTCTCATTGACCAAGTGAAGGGGGCAAGACAGGGGACCTTGTTTTGGGTCTCTCGTGTTTAACCACAGATTTCACCTTGTCCTGGGCCATCCATACTTTCAACCCCACTATCCCATCCTTATTCAGCTCAGTGCTGATCATGTCTGTAAGGCCAGGGGAAAGCAGGACTCTGCTGAAGGCAAGACCTCAATCCTACTCATTGCACCTTCATTCTCGGGGCAGGCTTTGCCTTTTAGGTGGAATGTCATTTAAAAATACCAAAACAAACCCAACCAAGCACCAAGGCACCAGCCAGAGAGGGCCCTTGTCCCCGCCTGGTGCTCAACGAAGCTCAGGAGGACTCTGCACCTTCACTGCTGGACATTTTAAGAAGGGTTGATTGTCAGAGTGTGTGTCTCGCTGGGGTACAGTGGCTTTGTCAGCCCCTTACCTTGGGGTTGGCCTCCAGGTAGTTGAACAGGACATTAATGGATATGGTCAGGTCCCCATTGTTGAAAGGGTAAGGTCTGTTCCAGCCCTGGGCACCAAACTTGCGCCGCTCGGCCACCACTGCGTGGAAGTAACAGAGCGCAAACAAGATGCATTTGAACTCAATTTCTTTGGTGCACATCTCCAAGGTGTCCTGCAGTGGAATGAAAGGGAGAGGGGATTGGTGAGTGAGTAAATATCCCTCTACAAATGACACAAAGAAAACTGACGGTTGTTTATTAAATAAATAAACAAGCATGAATTTACCTTTCAAAGATTTGATACCTTGTTAATTTTTGAACTCTCTTGTTTATAAGCATCTTAGGACTACAAACACATACACACACACACACACACACACACGTATACACCCCCTCTGCTGACAGTCCAGGCAGCTCATTATGGCACCAAGGTGCAGCAGCTCCACATTCAGCCTCAAGAAAGGCACCAGACATCCAGCACCCTCCCTGGTTCGGGAGCACAGGGACAGCTCTGGTTATCCCTAAATCACATCCCCACAGGTGGGGCTCTGGGCATGCAGGAGGCTGTGCTGGCATGGGCCGGCTCCTGTGCCTGCAGCGATGCCCACGCTGATGTTCAGCGTCTGGCACCAGGGTTGGGGTGAGCCCGACATGGACCCGGCAGCTGCACGCGGTGGTGGGTACCTGTGTGAAGAGGTCAAGGGCTTTGTGCAGGTTGGCAAACATGCCCGTCGGTGGCTCATTGGTGATCTTGATGGAGTTTTCCAGCAGCCCCTGAGGGATGATGTGGGCCTCGGGGGTGGGGGCTGGCTCGGCACTCATGAACACCCGGTAGTCGTCGTGGCTGCCTGTGCTGTACTGCTCCACTATCTTATCCAGCGTGCGCAGCCACCGGGCCACCAGGTGGATGTTCTGCAACAGAAACCCTCCTGTATCGCTTGGATAAGCCTGGACCCAGTGGCTGCATGGGCTGAGACTGCAGCTGTGCATGATGGCCAATGCACCGGGACGGGGGAGCGGAGCCTCTGCTGGCACTGCCCGAGCTTCAGCCGTCCTGGATACTCCACTAGTGCCAGTGGGGACACCAAGGGTGAGAGAGCCTGGGGGCACTCTGAGCTATGGCTGGCAGCAGTGCTCACCACCTACCTGCAGGATGACCCAGTGCCCCTGCTCAGCTGCCACTTCCAGGGCTCGTTCTGCCACTGGTTCCTGGCCCTGGCCCAGTGACACGTTGTGGATCCTCCCGTTTTCGATGGTGAAGTTCAGTTTTCTGCCTGGGGAGGGGAAGAAACCACCACAGCCTGAGACCTTTTCTTGGTACTAGCAGTACATGGAGGGGCTGTGCCGCACCGGCCCATCGTGGCTCACACCACAACCACAGCAG